AAAATAATATTTACCAGAGTTTTCAGCCAGCCTGAATTTCCCACAACAAAGATATCTTCTCCATTGTTTACGGACGTTCTCCTTTGTTACACAATAGAAGATGAAAATGAAGAACCCTGCAAAGCAGTTACATAAATAATAAAAGACTGTTGCAAAATTTCCTTTTTACTACTTCTTAATAAAAATGTTTTGGTTTTCTTTCATTTCTTTTAAATTTCTACTAAAAATTAGAAATTTGAACACATCTTCCTTCGTGAAAAAGTTTACAGTCCTGAACACTGCAGAGCACTTTTCCCGTACACAGATTAGATGAATCACACATACAAAAGAAAAACAAACAAACACAACCAAATGCACACAGTGCATGAAGTTTCTTTCTATCAAATAAAAAGAGAAAAGTTCTGTTGATCTTGAAATTTACTTAATGCTTTTGGAAAAGAATTCAAAGCAATATCAAAGAGAGGGGTGGGATACCACAYTGTCAGACTACAAAGCTTTTTTAGCACATGATGCAACACTGTTACATCTTTTATTACCACCAATGCTACAAAATTTTATACACTCATACAAAGAAAGTAAGTAATATCTAAAATAATAATGTATGGTACTCCCTTTGCCACAATTTCAAAGATTTTCTAGAACAGATCGTGCTCATCCCATCTCTTGCCACATTACAGACACTGTTTCTCATTCACTATTAACTGGGGCTGCATCTAATTTTCCCTGCTTAAAAGTTCATCATCATCACCCCTTTTAAGGGAAAGTGGCACTGTGTCTTTGCACAATTTCCCATTGGCAGTGGGAAATAGTTGTGTCAGGTTTACAATGAATAGTAAATAACAGTAAATCAACAGAGCAAATAGTGGAGAGGTGTAAACAGAGAAKTTTCACTGCTTTAGTCTCTCTGGGAAATCACCCAGCCAGTCATCCAAGAGCCATTTAAACAGAAGTTTCCATCCAAACTTCAGAAGGTGTTCAGGTGGATTTACACAACTGTGGACAGCTACMAYAYCTCCTATTTATRTAAAAGCCTTYGCAGCACCTCTGCTTTGGGATCTGYYCAGTAGCAGCCTGGCCTTTGCAAAAACTTCACGTTTTCATAAGTACTTCCTATGTGTTCTTAAATATTATTAAGTCATGCTTAAGACTCAGGTCACTAAGTGTCAGATGTTGCAGCCTTGCCTGTCTCAGTGACCCTGTGCTGAATGTCACACATTCCCCAGAGCCTTAGGGGAACTGGTGAAATCATAGTTTTCACTACATTAATTCACTGCATTATAACATGAACACTTAGAGTAACTGAGCATTCAAATTTCATCTGTTTATTAGTGAAACACTGTCACTTCCACGAATGGCTGCTTTGCATACACTTTCTAATATTTATAAATATACCATACCAACAAATAGTATTCAGATTTCCTATACCTTAACAAAACTGCAATTTAAGATTACAGTAAAGCAGTATTATCTGTAATACAATTAACACGTTAAAGCACATATTAATTTTTATTGCTGAATCAAGAAAATGGCATTTGAAAATGTTTGGCTTGTTATATTATACACAGGGGACTTTTACAGGAAGGATAAACTTACCTTGCAAAGTGTTGAAAATGGTAAAGAGGTAAGTAAATACCTCATTTACTGTGAAGAAAGCAAACCCCCAAGTAATTCCCAACAAGAATGTGAGGCCAGCAACACTCCTAAGATCTTGGATRCTGGTTTTCCTTTGAGCACCAAGYTGCTTTTTCTTTTTTATACGACAGAGCTGGATCAGCACAACGATGAACATGCTGATATTAATCAGGAATATCAGACAAAAGTATCCCACAGCAGTAATATAGAAGACAGTTCTACTTTTGATCCAGCAGCTAGAACAAAAGAACACTCTGTCAAACAATATCACAAACAGAAATTAAGTGAAATAAACACARGACAAGTAGTAGTTGGTTGCACATGCAAACCATTTTTGACTTTTTAGAAAAAAGAGGTGTTTTTATGGCTAAAGGATACAGGCAATAACCCTAAAACACATGAGATACTGCAGTTATACCATTTCAAAGCACTACCATTGCTTCCTTTCTTTCCCAACCTTTACCCTCAAGAAAACAGTTTGGAGGACCTCCCTCCACCCCCCAAACCCAAAAGCACCTCCTTTGAACTCACAATTCATCAGGTCCATTTATTGAAACCTTTCCAGTGGTTATCAGTCCATAATTATCTGGTGATATTGCCAATACAACGGACACGACTACTGCTGGTAACCCTAAAAAATTATGAGCAAAGAGACAGTATAATGAGGAATTAAAATTTTATTTTTCTATGAAATCTACAACTTATTTCTGAAATTTTTCTGTTTAATTCTGTTGAGAACTAGCTGTCTGAAAAATTGTAGCATTCAAAGTACTCAGGAGCACAACTTGCAAAGAAACAAGAACTGTTCTCCACAGCCAGACTCAAAACCTGAATAAACCAACAAATACCATCAGTCTTCAAAGTGAGYTAAAATATCTGTTACAGGATAACTTATTTTCTTTCTTACATRTGTTTTAAGAAACAAATAGATAAAAATCAGGCTCAGAATCTCGTCATCCTCTATCCAGTCCAGTAAGATCTGGTTTTGCTGATTTTTGYTAGCAACAGTGCTATTCTAGAAATGAATATATATACTTATTGGCATTTATTCTCAAAATAATGAAAGCATGCACTTTCAAAATTGGTTCTACTGGACTAGCAAAAGGAAAATTTATTATCAGTTTGCATTAAAGAAGCTTCAGTTCTGCATCTGGGGGACTCCA